GAGAGAGAGAGAGAGAGAGAGAGAGAGAGAGTTTCCATCGGTCGGTTGCGTCCCCCCGTCGTGCATCACCTGACACATTTGTTTTGCGAGTGCGCAACAGGTCATCTAGTGGTGGAATGATTATCTCACGACATTGCACGACATTGTTATCTGGCGGCATGATTAATTGATGTGACTGGGTTCATTACATGAAGTTTGCAAAGAGTTTTTGTCATCAACCGTGTATTAATAATGATTAAGTAATCCCGTTTGTCCCTGTTGCCACAGGCCCAACATAGAGCTTGAAAACAGAAGAGGGTTGGGCCAATTGCTTAGAGTCGAGACCAGGGGTGTTGTAGTGGCATTTTTGGAATCCGGGGCGTACTCAGACTATTGCAGTCAGATTCATCCAGTTCCGGCTGTAATTGCAGTCAGATACATCTAGAAAAAAGTCTTATGCCCTCTTTGCCTCCAGTCGTTGGCAAGCTCGGAATTTCTGTCTTTTGCCTGTTTTTTTTTCAGACAATTTATTGTTGCCTTCATTCGTTGGCAAAGGGCCTCGCTCACTACTCACCAAATGTGCGAAAAGAGAATGAATCTTCTGCTAGAAAATGGAAGATACACCGCCACATTCTTCGTCTTTTGTGCATGTGGTGAGTATTGGAGTGAGGTCCAATCAATCTCTTTTACTCTTGGGGTCTCGTACCAAATCCTACAATTGATTTACAACATTCTTTCTTGCGCTGTGCACTCATCCCATTTTCTCAACAGCCAATGTTAAAACGATTTTAGGACTAATCCTACAGATTATAGAACATACACACCTAAGGAATCCAAAGGTTGTCTTGTCAGATTTTATAGAAGACCAAACTGGGTTGGGCTGCTTAGCCGTTCTTAGAATTTGACAAGGGTCACCGTGCTGCTCCGTAGACTGAGTTGGGTCTGTCTCTTATACACATCTAGATGTGTATAAGAGACAGGCTTAGCCGTTCTTAGAATTTGACAAGGGTCACCGTGCTGCTCCGTAGACTGAGTTGGGTTGGGCTTCTTAGCCTTTTTTACAATTGACAAAATTCATCGTGCTGTTCCCTAGTCTCATTTTCTCGACCGCCATTGTGGAATCAGTTGTAGGACTGACTAGTCCTACAGATTGTAGAACGACACACAGTCATTTCGTTATACAGTGTACCCCCCGAAGGTACCTTGACATAGCCGTTCTTAGAATTTGACAAGGTTCACCGTGCTGCTCCGTAGACTGAGTTGGGTTGGGCTTCTTAGCCTTTTTTACAATTGACAAAATTCATCGTGCTGTTCCCTAGTCTCATTTTCTCGACCGCCATTGTGGAATCAGTTGTAGGACTGACTAGTCCTACAGATTGTAGAACGACACAGTCATTTCGTTATACAGTGTACCCCCCGAAGGTACCTTGACATCGCCAGCTCGGCGTCCCCTTTAAAACCACCCTGATGAAGATGTTATGATGCCTTTCTCCCCACTCCTTCCTTAAGCCCTATGCAGAGCGGTATGTGTTCGCACCCGTACACGCCTCTCCAGATTATGCGAGGGCTTCCCCTCACTTGTACTGGCTCAGTCCCCGTCATACTAAGGTGAAGGGGAAAGAGCGTCTGCTGCGCCGTTTGCCTGACATCGCAGTCAGCAGATGACTGACGCCCACCACAATGCCGCGTCACCACACTAGCAGCACCACGTGGGTGTGTGAGGGTGCGAGTGTAAAGTGCGCATGTGGGCTCGCTTGCTACACACGTGGTTAAACCACCACTCTCCCTGCCCTGTAAAAATTGGGGGGACTGGTAGGGCGCTTTTGGGAGTAGGCATCTGACCTACGGGTAGCAGGACTGCTATGACCTGCGAGGGTTAGGAAACCTGCCAGCAAACACCCCGCCCGTAGATTCATCACTGCCTCGTAGTTGATGGGAGGCCCGTAGATTGGCAGTTGGTAAAAATAAAAAGAAAGAGACTATTTCATCCCGTCGTCTTTTTTTTTTTTTTTTTGTTTCAAAACATCCCACCATTCTCGCAGAAAAAAGGGCCTTCATCCGTTGTTCACAACGTGCATACAGAAAAAAAGGGCTGTGCATCTTTCCGTTTTCAAGAGAAAGATTTATTCTCATTTTGCACATATGGTGAGCAGTGGAGCAAGGCGGCCGTGGCTCCACTACTAACCAAATGTGCAAAATGAGAATGAATTTTCTGTGGAAAATGGGGAGATACACAGCCTCTTTTTTTTGTCTTTTGTGCTGCCTTTCTGTACAGGGGCGTAGTTTGGAAGCAGGCCGTGGCTCCACTGCTTACCAAATGTGCAAAATGAGAAGGAATCTTCCCTAGAAAATGGGAAGATGCATAGCCTTGTTTTTTTGTCTTTTGCGAGGAAGATTCTCACGCCCGGCACCCGGGCATGCAAAAAGAAAAAGAAACTTTTTTTTTTTTTTTTTGGTTTTCTACGCTCTCCCAGAGGGCTCCAAATCCGGGCTCATTTCGTTTTTTGTGAGTTGGCTGTCAAGGGGGGGGGGGGTTATAAATTGGTTTTAAAGGGGCTAAAGGGGTCTAAAGGGGGATGCCTTTATGTGATTCTGTTATTTTCTTTTTTATCTCCGATGCTGTGAGGAATTATAATGTGACCCTCAGCCAGAAGTCGTTTGTATTTCAATCCTACACATTTTCCGGAATTTTTTGATTTTTTTTTTTTTTTTTTTGGCACTGGGGCTGCCCGGAACCCTGCTCGGGGGTCATGCCCGGCCGGGCACCCGGGCGTGTATCCGGGCAGAAGTTGGCTGCCCGGGCGCCCGGGAAAACAGCCTAGGTCTTTTGTGCTGCGTCAATAGGCAACGGGCGGCGCATTTCTGTGGAGGGGCCAGTCAGTCCAATGCTGATACCACAAGACTGTCATTTCTTATTTATTCTTTTCATTTTTGTTTTCCGCTCGTGCATTTTTTTCTTCTGCTCCCTCAGTCGCCGACCTCCCCCCCCGAATGCGGCCCGCATGGCCAGGAAAGGGCAATTTCTTCTGTGGGGGAAAGTGGTGGTTTAACAGGCACCCCCGCTTTTCAGCCCCAGGTTAGACCCCCTCAACCCTGAACAGTGCATTTGGTGATAATCTTTTTCAGTTTTTTTTCCCTTTTTCTTTTTGCCCTGTTTTGTTTTGGGTGAAGGTCTGCGTGTGCCAAGTTTGGTGTGTGTTGGGGTCTTGGAGATGAGTGTTTTGGCCAGCCCTGAAAATCCTGAAAAACTAAAAGCAGCAAATTTTTCATGAAAACACACTTCTGCCTTGGGGTTTTGGGCCCCTTTCATCCTTTTTTCCCCCCCCCCAATACTGTTGGTTTTGCGAGGAACAAGCCCTCAAGGGGCCCTATCAGATATCACATGATCTGGGCTAAGGCCCCCAGCAAGCCGAGGGCCCGCCCTAAGTGAAGGCGGGCCTGAATATTTGTCAGAGGCAAAATTCGACATTTCCATATGTGGGTATTCAGGCTCTCGCAGCATGCCAGTTGGTTGGGTAGACGCGTGAGCCTCACAAAGCTGCGTCATACAGTTGGCCCAGGCCTTGACAGTTGAGCCGGGGCACATATACACAAAGCAGGGCCGATACATTGGGAAGCAGGCTATCGGCCTTTGCAAAAGCAGTACCGCCGACGCACCTGCCTGGGAGCCCTGCACAGATGCAGCGAACAGCCTAAGTCCGGAGACTCAGGCCGTGCCCAACTGAAAAGGGCCCAGGCCCTCAACTGTAGTCTCGGGCCTGGGCGCATGGTCTGAGGCCCAACCGGAAGCTCGTGGAAGCTTCCAGCCAGGCCACACGCAGCATCCAGGAGGCTGCCACTTCCACAAAAGGAGTAGGGCAGTCCAGGCCAGGCATTCTGGCCAGTGCTGGCAATGCGGAAGTGCTGCTGCGCTCTCGCTTAATGCTGCGCTGCTGCCAAAGGCGCTGACGGGGCGCGAGGTGGTGGAGGGGCGCTGCAGGGCAGCGGGGCGCAGGCAGCCATAGCCGAGCTGCTGGGCGCCAGGGGGTACAGCGGGCGATCTAGTGGTCTTCAGGGAAGGAGGCGAGTGTGGGGT